TGGTGAGTAGGCACACGTATAATACAGGCTAATTCACCGATAAAGAACCAGCTCATTTGAACGCCGGCTGTGGGCAAATAAATGTCTTTTCATTGTGAACACGCTACCTGCTTCTCCGTCCTTTAAACTGCCCTACTCTCATCGCCACCGATTGATTGTGTCCGTTAGAAAGGTCATACCAGCATCGCTGCCGGTGAGTGGGGTCGCACAAACATTCTTTGCAGAAATCTTTGTTTTCCCGATCCAATTTGCCCTGATGAGAGGCCAATGCTAAGAATACCGGAGGTAGGTGCGGCCACCCTCGCCTGACGACGCTAACCCCCCCGTCTAAGCGTGCCGCATACAATTTGATCCCACTGTGTTAAACGCACAGCGTGCCTCCTGCATAGACGAAATTTACACATAGTTGCATGCGACGTTTCACCTTCCATACCGGTGCTGGAAAACTGAATCGAATATCTGCTGTATGAATGATGCATAGTGTGCTTCGAAGGGGTCGCGTGTAGTGGATAACAATCGTATGTACTGAGGACTGTTCTAGGACAGGGTGGGCAGGTTAGGTGTGGCTGACGCCTGTAGATGGACGTCCCGGGCACGGGTCTTTCGCTTGAAGTGCGATGGATTCGCAAGTTGTCAACAAAATGTCCGTTTTATAACTTGCTGCACTAACAGCCTAGGTACTAGCTAAAAGGCCCAGACACGTGTTTCGCCGGTATTTAATTCTATACCGGTTTTGAAAGTTCAGCTTTTTAATCTCCAGAGAAATTAAAGCCGCTGCTTAACACAGCTGTGAGGGGTCGGGCTCTTCAGTGGGTTCCCCAAATTTCCCTGTCTGCTTTCTGGTTGATATACCGGTTTTGAAAGTTGAGATGTGTTACGTGAAACGGCAACATAAGTGGGGACAGGTTGGAGCTGAGTCCACGCCGCCGGTAATAGCGTGAATTGAGAACCAGCTGAATGCATTTATTTCCGTGACGTAACTGGTGTTGACGACGGTCTGTGAGGAGACGGGTGGTGACGTGTGTTGCGATGGTGGTGGGTCCTTATATGTCCAACCAGTCCGATACGCGCTCTTAATGTCAGTGGACAATGCAGGCGTGCTGGTATATACTAGGGGTTTGCATAACTAATCCATAATATTCGAGATTATTTTTTCCTCGCTTTTGCTTCTTTTCCATAATACGTAAGTACTAAGTGAACTCGTAACTAGGTGCAACAGGTGTTTAAATCAATGCAAAAATACTCACGCAGCAACATTATTTTAGTGTTAAAAACATACGTTACAATCTTGAGCCGAGTGTCTGCTGGACTTGATGATAAAACACTACCTTTATAGAAGTCCAGCATTTCTAATTTTAGTTTGCTTGCAATAGGTTAAGTGGATGTGAAGTTAGTCTATGTGTTCTAAAGTAGTCGATGTCACCATGGGCAACCGCATCCCGAGAACAGCTAAAGATGATGATTTTGTACTGTTCAATCTCGATGACAGTCTACAGAACCTAAATGCCATTCACATATTTCATTTCGGATTCTATAACATTCCACAATTCATGCAGCGTCTAAGTCCGTATTTCTGTGACTTTCCTGAGTCCAGTCTGATCAACACAATGCATACGTTTTTCTTCCCATCCAAAAACTGTTCAACTGTAAACTATCAACTATAAACACTTGAGTCGCCTTCGGCATTACAAGTAAGGAGGCAGAGTAGTATGCATGGTGAAGCAGCAGATGTAATGATACTTTAGCAAAATACAACCATAGTGCACAGAAAGCGAGAAGCAACTGCAACAAAGTTACAAAAAGAGGTTTCTGATTATTGGCTTACCTGCACGTCTGTGATTCTCCCTTAATTGGGGCGGACAAACACTTCTCAGGCGTCCCACTGTCCCGGTTTGATGCCCACAATCCAACTAGTCGTTCTTCGTCACATACAGCCGGTACAGATTGCAGGCCACTCTGTGACGTTTCTTAGGCTGACTTATGTGAAACTGTCTTTGTCGATTCTGCAACCTGTGTCATCTACAGTCAGGAACTACAACAGGCCCTATTAACCTTAGCACTAAGGCCTACTTTATTGAAAAATCATGTCGTGTGAACAAAAGTCGAGAATTTTCAGGAATTACTCCGCACTTTATACGGAGTTTAGCATTAGTTGAGTCCTTCAAATACGTCTCTCACTTTTGTCGCCATCGCGATTCTAATCTGTAACTCGAAAGGTTTTATCTGCCTACATGCAACTGACAATCAGTCACATAAACAAAAATCAAATTTTGATTAAAATTCCATTTAAACGTTCTGCAGTCCATTGTCAGCTATATTAAAAGTACCTGTACATTTGGTTTTTAAACTTTGTAAAACAACAGGCTTTCCGAAAAAGAAAGTCGAGGCTAGTTGTGCTTTCGCGTTTTGGCGCAAGCCAAGTGTAGAATTTACGGATGTATTTTCACATTTGGAGAATTATTTTAACAATTTCTCACTATGAAGGTGTAGGGGCTTTTCCATTATTTATTTAGTTTGCCATACATCATCCTGTATAAGCTATGTTATCATGCATGATAGTCCTGTGCCAATGATTGTCATGTCTCCCAGTTAGTCACTTCACCTTCTGTTTGGCAAAGTCTTACCATATTGTGTTATATTTTATATGATATGAATGGATAACTGTTTAAATTGGCTTTGGTTGAAGGTATTTCATGTTCATAGAAATGTTGCGCGGTGTTAGAAAAAGGCCTCGCGGACTAAGGCCTTAACTGCGCAACTGCAGTACTCGCCTGGAAATCAACTCACAAGTCCTTGACCTAATGGAAACATCTGCAGAGGAACATCCAATGTAGAAAAAGCACCTCTTTTCCACTCATTCAGTAATACACTTTTGAAACGCCAAAATGTACCTGGCGCGCTTGGTGAGTTTAACTTGAAA